ACATTTCCCTCCTGCAAATGAGAGGGGGTTGGCTGTAAATGGGCAGACTGACATCCAAATAGTGGCAAGTATTTGCAAAGAGAAGTGAAAAGCAGTTAACCACCCCACTGAACATGGAAAAGGGGAGTGGAGAAATTGAATTTAAAAGATTTTAAATGCAGCAGCCAAGTGCAGCTTCCAGAAATACTTAGGACAACCCATTTCACAAGACACAATCTCTGAAACACATTCTGCTGGGCCAAAGAAGAGCCAGCTATAGAGAGTCTCTGGCAGCAGCATCTCATCGGTTTCTGCATCTCTACCTCAAGTAATGCAACCCCACCCCCTTTATTTTTATAGCTTACAGTAACGAGGTTGATTTAAGGTGTTATTTTGAAAATGAGAGGATCAGTCTGCATCTCTCCCTGTTTCTCCTGGGGACTCCTGTAGGATCAGGAACACGCCGGACGGTCCCCAGACAGCCATGTGCTCTGGCAGCCTCAGCAAGGGATGCTGGAGCGGAGAATCAGCAACTGAAAACATGAGTGCTGATTCCCAGGGGTGTAAAGTGATCAGCTTGTTGGAAACAGCTGGATGAGAGAAGCTTTCTTTGATCTGCTCCTATGGACTCAAGGAGGATCATACAAGTAGAAACGCAGCCCGTAACCTCCAGACCTCTGTCCTTCTGGTAATTCTCAATCTGCTATGGGGCTTTTTAGTTAGCAGTGTGACAGAGCTAATTTCTGCCTTCCTCAACATATGTGGTTTCACCTTAGATTTCAGAATCTTCCCGCTCAGAATCCTTTCTCCTCTTGATACGGTCTCACGTGATAATGAGCAACCTTCGTATTCCTGCAGCATGGAACAAGCAGTATTGCCACTTTCTCTCTAAAGAAGTAAGAACCTCTGCCTTTGCCTCTTCCTTCAGACCAAATAAATGTATCCTTGCCCACCACCCTCTTTGTTCCAAGTACCTGTGGCTCTCTAAAGCCATTCTATCTCCAGAAATTTGCCCTTTTTATCATGATGAGATGCTTATAGCATATTTTTGAAAAGGTTAATAAAATAACTGTATTAACTGGAATTTTTTTCTTCATTCTATAACTTTGGGGTTGATTTTGTTTCAAGATTTGGAGACATTTTGACAGTAATCATTAATGCTGTAAAAATACCGTAGCGGGTACTTAATTCAGCCTTTTCACCACGACTCCGTGGGGGCTGGGAGCAGGAGATAGCTTGTACAGCAAGGAGGGATGCAGGTTAACAGCTGAACTTGGGGTTTTTCAGTCAACAGTGTGTTACGAAGCCACCTTCTGCACAGCAGTCACCTTTGAACAAACGTGTGCGTAGAGGAGATCAGTGTGCACAGTAAAAAGCCCAAGGAGTGTTTAAACTTTTTGTTTGAAGTGTGATAAGTTAAAAAATTTCAGGGGAAAAAAAAAAAAAGAAAGAATCTCCAAGGTCTCTTCTTTGCAACAAGCTGGTCAGTTCATCGTACTGAGCAAATAATGGCATGTCTAATTATTGTGGGAATATTCCAAAAGGGCTAATGTTATATATGACAGCAAAAGGGTTTTGATTAACCAGGAATCATTTGGGAGGGTATAAAAGTAACTCT